GGGAAAGGAGAAAAAAAAAAAAAGAATGAAAAAAAAAAAAGAGAAAGAATAAGCCTCTAGTGTTTTCAACCTAAAATTATAATACATGAAATAGTAAAGACATTTCTTATGATCCATTTTATATTGGAAAACAGGCCTCTCAACAAAACAACCTTTCAAAGTTTCAAACAGGTTAATTGAATATCTGCATCTTCACCCCAATGCCATGAAGAAATCATGGCTAGATAGATGAGCTTTTTAGCATAACTGGAGATGGACACAGCTCTGTCAGATAGACTTTTTTCTTGAATAATTTTCCTCTGGATTTAGGGAAAAAAAAATAAAATACAACACCTTTCATGTCAGAACCAAACGCTGCTTATCACAGTTAACCAGTTCTTCATAGATTAGCTTAAAGACCCTAAAGAGGGGTTTTTTTTTTGCCCACAAGACTTTAAAAGATAAGCTGCCAGCCTGATGACATGTGAACTGGGACTTCTGTGTTGCTTTCACCTTTAGTCACAAATGAAATTAATCATACAAATGAATCATTTGGTTTGGTAAATGTCTGCATTACCGTGGCTTGGTTTCCATCCAGGAGCAAGGCTGAGGTTTTCCAAGAACCTAAGGCGAGAGCAACATTGATTTCACCTCAGATGCTGCTCTAAATGCAACACTCAATGATACAAGTAGCTTTCAGAGGCTTCAGGCTATCTTGAAAAGCAGACGTGAAAGGCAGATTCTCCGCTGAAGAGGCTGGACACCTGCTTAGCTTTTCTAGGCATTTTTTCCTCCTTAACAGCAACATTTAGGAGTTGAATTTACAATTCACATTAGTTTCTCACAGAAATTCCCATCTTCTGTAGATACTCTTCACAAGACAATGGTGAGGGCAAACAGGAAAACGAACTAACACCTCATTCCATCTTTGTGGAATAGGCAAGCCACTGGAATTGACACTAGAGCTAGAGGCATGATATTTACAGCCATTTAGATGTGCCTCCCTTCCCTGGAAGCAGCGTTGCTACTTATCCATAAGCATTCTAGTGGCCAAAACCATATTTGTCTTCCTCAGCTGGCATGTTTCATGCAGCTATGACTGTGAAGAATCTTCTCACCATCTTTTCTATTGTGTTCACCCTGACTTTCTGAAGGCAGGCCCTTAAAGTCTCCACACATACCTCCCTTTGTGAGCCCTACAAATAACAGCCTTATCCCACAGTGAAACAAAACCCCAGATAATGAATTAAATAGTGGCATTAGCACACACAGGGCTCTCAAACTATTTAATACCTATTTATGTGATAGTTTACCATTTATGACAGTTCATTCGTTCCCTCAGTACTGATGGCAGATCAGAAGTTACTTACAACTTCTTTCAAAAAAAAAAAAACCAAAAACAAAACAAAACAAAAACCCACAACCCAACCAAAACCCAAAACCAAACAAAAGGGAGATCTGGTTTATCTGATCATAAACCTCAGAGATTTCTCTGTTTTTATTACACAGAGACATTTCACATTTCAAGAAGCCTTTCTGTGCTTTGCTCTCATTAAAATCTACAGAAATAGCCTCCCCAGATACATTGAAATCCTTCTTACTCTGAAACAAACATGCAAAGCCCTTCTACCAGCTCATTCATAATTCTTATTCAGAAGCCATTAATTATTTACATTATTGTTCTCTTAAAGGCCACACTGTGACTCTCCTGCTTGCTGAGACTTTGTTATGCTGTAAAGTCAGACCAGTTGTTGGAAGAGTGTAAACAGATAGAAATGTAGTTAAACCTGATTTTCACCATTACTAAAGCATAAGCCAAAAGTCCCACTTCACAGAAATAAAAGAACAAGTTTCTGGCTTCCAACCCCATGACCCTCAATCTTACTTCTGCTTTCTGGGTTTGAAGATAATTGGGACCACAAAAGAAAGGTTCTAATATTAATTAGCATTGTGCTGCCTGATTACAACTCCAAATTATAAATATCTTCCCTACCATGGTAATGGAAAATCTTTTATTTCTGTGATGAAGATATGCACTCAGAAGAATACAGCAGCTAAACCTTACATGCAAGTTCCTTTCCTGAGTCTTGAGTTCACAGCTGAAAAGAGAGCTGGCTTTATGTGACTCTTACCCTGAGTGCCTGCACCAGAGAGCATCAATTACCTCTGCAATTGCACTGCAATTACCTCTCTCTCCCATCTGCTCCTCACTCAGGCAGGCATTACATGAACCAATGCTCACTATAGTGTTGTCTGTAGGACCTGCAGTAAGGTCACCGTAAGCTGAGGGAAAATAAAGTCAGGAACAAAGAGTAATTCAGTGAGGGGTGTATTGATATGGTCTTATTCTCCAAGGTGAAGAACTGCCTTTAAACAGGCAGGAAGAAGAGGAGCAGGTGGTTGTTCCCGCAGGTTGACAGTTGATACAACTGCAGTGCAAGGCAGGCCCAAGTCTCCCAAGAAGACAAGCACATGCAGAACACTGGGCTCCCTGGATGGCTCCTTTGTGCCAGTGCACAACCAGTCATGTATGATCTGGCCTAGAAGCTTCTGCTATGGATATGTAATTCTGCTAACACAATGACACTAGAGAAAACTCAAAGAAAACAGCCCAATTTTCTCCTCAAATCCACTCCAGTTTCACCTCTGGCTTGTTCAGTAGCCGAAGTTGATTCAGTCTTTTTTTCTCACCTAGTTTTAAGATTATTACCAAACTAACAATATTGAAGAATTTTACCCTCTCAACCTGCTTAAGAGCTTCCTTCTACTGGCCTATCATCTCTGCTTCATGTTTCTGTAACATCATACATTTACAGTACATCTGCCCAAATCTCTTCAACAAACTTAGAGGGTGAAAGAAAATCTCTTCAACAAACTTAGAGAGGTGGAAGAAAAGTAACTGCTTATAAGCATAATGTTTCTGCTTTGCTTAATATGGCCTTCTTTCAAGATTTTGCTTTTAAAAGTTCAAATATTGAAAGAATTTCAAGTAAAAGAAAGCAGAACCTTAGTCCACTGTTGTAATCTTTACTATGACACACCTCATTTGCTGTACATTACATGGTTGAACAGACAGTAGAAATTTTGCTTCCCATTGACACCTAACCCAACATTTCCTCTTAACAGATTTTCAAACCTTTAATATGCCGGAATCTATAGTAAATGCAGGTGTTTTGCCCTTCCTACTTCAGTTTAGGCAAGTGTGCTTTTTCTGGGGTGTTCCTTAGTGATAAATGATTTTTTTCCTGCATTGATTACATAGACAGAAGTAACTAATGACATATGATGCAAATACTTTCATTTAACTAAGTACAAATGATGGCATTTGGTAAGAAGCTGTCAATCAGGTTCTAAAAGAAGACTGGATACCATGATTACCACTAAACCCTACCTTAGGAGCTCCCACAATGATTCAGTTCTAACAGCTGCTAAACAAAAGTATACGTACTAAAGCTCTAATTTCCTATGCTCTCTTCTCTGAAGGGAAGGGTCTTACCCTTTTATGATTCCTGAGACCTGGTAAATTGCTGGGCTGGATATGGTGCATTGCTTCCCCCCCAAGAGGTTCTCAACAGCTGTAAGGAACAGAAGGGGCTCTCTTAACTTCATCCTGCTAGGCTTTTTGGAGATATATGATTCTTCATAACCAGCTCCTCTTGTATCTGGTTCTCTGCATGCATTTGCACTTTGTACTGATTGCAAATTTCATTCATGTAATGCAGAGACCCATTAATAATTTAAGATTAAAATGGAACCCAAGGGCAGGAATATTCCATTTTTGCTCATGCAATAGATGTTACTTAGCTTGTACGTCAACTCAAGTTATCTTTGGGCATGCTACATTAATTTGGTAAATTGCTTTTCAAACAAAGTACATTTAGAAAGAGCCTGGAGAATCTATATGAGAGGTAACTTTAATTTTTAGGGCAAATGTGTCAGATCAATATCTAGAAAGTAAAATACAAACAGATTTTAGTTTTTTGCCCATTGTGTTTTCAGAAAGAGAGGGCAAACAGAATAAATAGTATAAAGAAGCCCTCTGCACAAACAAGTAAAAGTCGTATCAGCTGTAGCGATAAATACCGCAGCACACTACTTACAACGTCTTCAACGACAGAATAAATACATCTAACGGTATTTAACAACTCGATAGCGTTGCAGCAGGACCGCCTGCACACCCAAGGGAACGGTCAGCATTCTTAGTCTTACCGGGGAAGGGTGCGGGACACCAGGTCAGGCCAGGCAGGTGCCGGGTCCCGCCCAGAGGCAGGACGCAGCCCCGCTTAGCGCTCTGGAGCAGCCGGGGCTCCTGTCAAGACCTGCCCTCTCAGAGGGGTGGCGGCAGCCGGCTCACCCCAGCCCTCTGGGCAGCGCTGTCACGAACCCCGCAGTAGCTCGGCCTCCCGCCGGGCTCCTTTCTCCACGGCAGCTGTCAGCGACTCCCGCGCCGGCAGCTTCCCGCGTTGCTCGGATCCAGCGGAGCTTGCCACCCCGGCCGGCCCCGCCCCGAACACGCTGGGTCACCCGCGTTCGGCACGGCAAGCACCCCAGGAGACTCGGGCAGCGCCTGGCAGCGCTCTTCCTCTTTGCTCCGCCGGGACCGCGAGTCTCACCTGAGCGCGGAGCGGGACCTGCTGAGAACAAGGGTAGAAGTGCCAGCCGCCGCGCGCGGCGCTCTGCCCAGCACAGCTCGCCTCCTCAGCGGTGCGGTGCGGTGCGGTGCTGTGCTCTACTATACAGCACTGCACTGCACTGTACAGCCGACCGGCCTGGCCCGGCCCGCCCTGCCCTGTCCTCTCTTGTGCTGTCTTGCCCTGCCCCGGCCCGCCCCGCCCGGCCGGCGGGGAGCGAGAGAGGCCGGCTCACCTCGAGCAGCCAACCAGCCCCCCGGGGCGGGTTGCGCCGGGCTGTCACGTGAGCGCGCTCGAGCACGCGGTGCCGTTACAGCCGTTACAGCCGCGCGCGGCGGAGGCGGCGGGAAAAGGGTGGGGGAAGGAGTGCTGCTCGGGTGAGGTGCGACGGCTCCTGCGGCCCCTGCCGTGTTCCCTCCCTGCCCGGGGCTTCTCGCCCCCTCGGGCGGCGGCGCGCCGCTCTTCCTGCCCTCGGGAGAAACCGTTTCCAGGAATTGAGGGGCTGCTGAGGCAGGAAATCCTGCGGGGCCTAAAGAGGGGAGCGGCTGCGCTGGCGGGGCCGGGATCGAGCATCCCCGCAGGGGGGAGGTGCCCTGACCCCCTTCGGTATGACCAGCAGGGACACCCACGACCTGTGTAAGCACATGCATAATGAAGTGGTGGATCCGTTCGCAGGATAAGGGTCTGTGTGTTTCTGTGGAGTGTGTGTACTTTTTATGTTTTAACGTTTCTGTCTGCTGAGTAAATTATGCCGTGCTGTTCACCTCTGTTTCCCCGCAAAGAGTTTTCATGCTGAATCATAGCTAAAAAGCAACATTAAGCCTGTATTCCTACCAGGATGGTTCCCACTTACTCTGTCCTCAGGGCATTTGACCTCTCTCTCAATAATACAGTAACAGAACTCTTGAAAGAGAAGAGTAGTGGGAAGTCATAAGTAATCTGGCACCATTTGGTATTTAAAAGGGTTGTAGAGCATATTGCTGAAATGCTTAGTTAAAGTTTGGGAAATGGCCCAGTAGCCTGGTATTACAGGAATTCTCTGTTTACTCAGTGTCTTGGACTTGATTTTCCATCCTGGATCTTCCTGTTTATGGGTTCAGGAGGAGTACTGAGAACTGTGGAGACCAGGCACTGTGCAGTTGCTAGTGCTTCATGTCACCCAGCAGCGACATTTAAAGTTGGTTGTGGAGAGTTTCTTCCAACATAGCTCCTCTAGGCTAAAGAAGAAGTGGTACATGGTCCAAAGACAGCAGGAGCTGGCACTATTGCAGGTAGAGGCAGGCTGGCCTTGCTGTCAAAATGCTCTCCTGTTTGAAAGGCCGAGTCAGGCATCCTGTTTAGAACTAATGAATCTAGCCCCCAGATCATGAAAGCCAGAACAAAAGTGGTGTTCACTGAATCTGCTTTCTTCTTTTGGTGATTTCTATTTCATGTGCTTTCCTGTGGAGTCATGAAGGCCTGAAATTTACCTGTATCAGTGCTGCTCTATACATGCATATTGTACCAGTACATGCTGTATTGATACGCTGAATTGTGCAGCAGGGTGAATTAGCCTGTGTGTAACTCCACGTTGCCGTGGATAGAATGCCTTCAGCACATAAATTATCCCTTTTGAGTACTGTCAAACACCAGCATACCCTCTGCTTTAACTTTGTAAAAGGAATGTGGGATGATAATCTCAGGATTCCAAGAGCTGGGCCTTTACGATAAATAACAGTTGGTATTGTAAGCCTCTTATTAAGGAAGTAAAAAGAAAAAGTGTTAACAATTTGGGTAAATTTTAAGATTTGGAATAAGTCCTGAAAAAGAATTACCTTTCCAGGTGTGGTACCAATGACAAAGGAAGATTGCTAGTTATTCCCTAGGATATATTCCCTATTTTGTTTGGAAAGAGTTTATTCAGAGTTCTGGTAACTCATATTTAGAGCCCCAATGAGGAAGCTTCCACAGTGCTTCCACAACATTTGCATGCAAAGTGTGTAGTTGGGCAATTTCAATTAGTACAAACTGTCTAAATTCCTGTAATTTTTACTGGAAACACACTACACCAAGGCAGTTGGAGCAGACAGCTGAGCTCACAAGGTTATCATCTGTATCTGTTCAGAAGACAGCCTCAAATCTTGTATTGGCTAACATTTTTAGCTTTTGCTAACGAAGCCCACATGAGATAAAAGTCAACCCATACAGCAGGTTATATTGTTTGCTTTAAATCAACTGTGTTTTGTGAACACTGAATGACTTGCTTCTATTTCATGTATTTCACTTAGCATTTCAAAATGAATTTAGGTTGTGTGAGAAGGTCTTGACTGACACTTTTGGAAATTGAACTCCTGTGTTTAATCTCAGACTGGGCACAGCATAAGGAAAATTCTCAATGCTACTAGGGAGGAAACTTTTTACTAGGCTGAAGATAGTCCCATTCACTTACTTTCCCAGTCTAGCAAATGAAGGATTTCCTGTTCCTTCAGTGCCCTATAGTTACTGGGTCTAGGATATTTTTGTTACATTAAAACTATGCCTTAGATACTAAACCAGCATGTTTAATTCAGAAAAAACTAGTATTTAGTAAGTCATCTGCTTTTTAAAGTACGATCGTTCTGTTTCAGCCTGAAATTAGTTAGACAGTAGTTTGGAAAGCTAATGGTCTACAGCATACTGGCTCTGTTTTCACCAGCTTTGTTTCATTGTCTTTACTGATTTTTGCAAACAAATTTGTTTATGCTTTTAAGATGCAACTTTTTTTTTGTGAAAAATTGCAGGTGTTGAAACTATAAGCAGAGGTGGAGGGTATGATATTGCCATTCAAAGTGCACATGGAATAGGTGAGGAGAAGCTGTGTAAGTTCTAGGCTTCCAGGAATGGATGCCAAAGCATTTTATTAAATTTGCTGCTAAGAATAATTGTTGGCTGACAGTTGTGTAACTTTTATGACAATATCTCTTGATCCAGTCATAAGGCAGACTGATACCAGTCATGATGTCAGGACTGTGATTGCATTGCTCCCCATTCACAGAAGACACTGTAGTCACAAAAATATTTATGATCGTGAGTCTTTTCATTGCTGCACTATTGTATATGAGCTGCAATTACGTTACTCTGACTATAGTAGCTCCAGATGACTCATGTCTTCCACTATATGTCTGGGTTCTTAAAGGATAATAAGACTGGGAGAGGTTTTTGTTCTGCAGAAAAGTGATGCAAAATCTGTTCTGTGATGTTTATTTGTCCACTTCAGTACCCACTAAACATACAGGATAGAGCTAGACTGCCTGCACTTTCCCAAAGTCCTAACACCTGTTTTCAAAGCGTGCCTCAAAGCATTAGGTGTCACAGTTAACAGAGTGTAGGTCTTTGTGCTGTGGTGGATAAGGAGTGTTTGTGCACTCAGTTCTGCTAACTGAACTGCAGTGACAAAGGAGATCGTATGGGAGGTGGCAATGAGCAGGTCTCTGGTCTTTCCAGATAGGCCTGGAAGACGATGGTTCATTATGGTACAGTTTATTGAGATGGTTTAATATTTTACCCTCTATTGTCACAAATAGATGCTTTTATATTTTACTCTCCATTGTCTTAGGGTTATGACTGGTTACTGCAGCTCTTTATGGCCACGTAGGAGAGGAACAGGTTTCAGATAGTGGCATTCCATCTCTGAGTATTCTCTGCCTCTGCTCGGAGCCTGCAGCAGGCTGTGGCCAGCTCCAGCTTACATTCCTATTCCCTGTCATTTGGTGTTAAGGCAGGTGGAACTCCTGTTGTCCACATCTTTGGCAAACGTTATACTGGCCTTGTGGCTGCTTCTTTGTCCCAAGAAATACCAGAACCACAATGATGTAGATATTGGGGGTTTTCAGAGCCTTTCTTAGAAGGCTTTACTATGGTTTAAGCTGTAATACAACAAAACATTACAGAGTAGTGGGAGGTTTTAGTTCTTTACTACGAGGTTTTGGCAAGTCCACACCTAAACCACTGTCCATCATTCAGTGAAAGTTGTGAACAGAGCAACAGCTGAATAAAATGTCAGAGGGCATACTGTAACCTTTTGCTGAAGGTTTACATCATCTTTATGGGCTGTTATAAAAATATTATTCTAAACACTGAGGTAATCATCAACGTGAATCACATTGTGTGCATTCTACACAAATCTACGTAAGACTGGCCGAGTTTTGTCTGGGTAGATACTGGCTTGGAAACTACATGAGAGAGAAGGGATTTCACTGGCAGGTTGTCATAACAGTGAAATATTTTAGCCTAAGCAGAAATACTAGTTAGATTGTGGAAATGCCAAATCATAAAATATAACAGTCATGCAGAGGGAATCCATTCTTAGTTTTAACAAGCCTACCTGCATCCCCCATTGCTTTGGGACTCAGAAATAGTAGGAGTTAAACGACAGCAGAATTTTGGATATGTAGTGGTTCTAACAAAAAAAAAACTTTTGTTAACTCTGCTCTGATGGACAGTTTCTGTTTATCCAGCATCACTCATAATGGCCTTCATACAGCTCCTTCTTCTTAAATACATCAGTTCAAATGTAAAAGAACTCTGGAGAACAAACTGGAGCTGTCATGCTTGCTCCTTCCCACCCCCCATTTATCTTGACAGGTTAGAACAAGTAAGTAAGGATATGAACTATGACTTTGTTTCTGTCTCTTCACAAATACTGCTCACAGTACCAAACAGCTTTGGCTAAAATAAGCCAGTCTGTAAAATTACAGAAAAAACAGTGCCTTCTGATATCTCAGATTATGATGTGCGTGCAAAGATGGATACATATATGTTTGAAATAGCAACACTGGCAATTTTTTGAGTTTTGAAGCTGTGTTTTAATATGTTACTGTAATTACATGTTGAATGTTTGAGCCTCATGTAAACATCCTTTTCCAGACCTGGTAATAGGCTACCATCCATAAAAGGAAAATTAACTATATATAGTATTTCTTCATGCTGTTTAATCTTCTCGTCTCTTTTAATTGCTTTGTTCTTTCTCCTATTTATCAGCTAAAATAAAACGTTTTTTAAAAAGTCCTTAATGAAATCAATCATTGTCAAAGCTTCATCATTGTTTCTAGGTATTGATTGCTACTCTGCTAGAACTTTCAAGAAACACCAGAGTTTTTGAAGAATCGTAGTTTGAAATATTCCAGGAAAATTCAGATGGTTTGAAATATGAGGAAGGTACAGGCCAGCTGGTGTAATTGGTGTTATTTGGCTACCAGCTCTGAAGCAGGTGCACTAAAGTAAACTTTCAACAGTTCATAAAGAGCTAATATACATATTCATAAGTATGTAATATTTTGGTTGAGCCATTAAAATTGTAACTCTCAATATTACTTTTTTTGTCTATGATATGTTTTAAAGGTATATTAATCATTCAGTGAACTTTTGAATATTATATTTGTATTTCTATATACTTTAGAAACTATAAGTCTGGATTTCTTTTAAGGTTTCTGTAAATGTAGTAATAAATTTATGAATTTTTTTGCCCCTTCAATTATGATCTACTGTGAAGAACAACACCTTTAATTTCTCTGTTCCTCATCTAATAGACCTCCAACCACAGGTGTTACCATTTGACTGATATATACAGTTTAGAAATATTTCCAAATGTCTCACCAACTTGAGTTTTGAAAACTTCT